GACGCATCATCGTCTGTAACTCGGTGGTATATGCCCGAAACGGTTCGCTTGGTCTCTGAATCCGGTCGCGGATTTTTCGATTCAAGGCCGTAGTATTATGCGGCAGGTAGCATAAGCGGAAGGCAGCTACGAAGTCTTCCCACGTTTTCCAGGACTCGCGATTGTTACGATACCATAGTAGTGGTTCCCCTGATATTAATTCGGGCACACAGCGGAGTAACTGCTTGTAGGAGAGCCCATAGCCGCTCCGGAGCTCTTCTACGCGTTCGAGGAACGCGAGGAGATCTTTTCCGGTAAAGCGACATCCCCATTTTCTGACCAGGTTCATGGTCTCTCCTATTGGTAGAGGTGGCGTCGGGGTAGGCTCGGTCATGGTTGGAATTTCGCTCGGTTCACCGATTAAATCTTCGTGGGAAAATATACTCGGGTTACGGTCGGCAAAAGTTTTGAGTCGTTTCCGCAACTCGTCACTTGAACCGGAGGTGTCGAAGTGATATTCCCGTAAAGTTTCAATTAACTCCTCTTTTGAGAGAACATGAATCCAAACTCTCGTGCTTGGCATCACGCGCNCTCAGTGTCGCAATTTCTACCGGGCTTAAAAAAAAAAACGGTCCCTGTTCGNGCGCCATGTAACGGAGCCGATTTTCTATCGGCTTTGCCCGGCCTTGCCGGACAGCTCGGTCGGCGCCAAGGATCGGAGAGCGGAAGGCGTGAAATTGCGACACTCGGTGTTTTAAATGCTGTAATGTAGTGGAGGTTTATTCAATTAATCATAATATTTACATTGGATAAAACTAGCACGGTATTTACAACGGATATTTAGACGAATCGGCTTTATCGGCGCGGTGATTCCCGTACAAAATGGTTCGCGGAGGTTCGAATCGTGTTTCTCAATCGGCGCGGCGGAAAATAANGGGCGGCGCGGCGGACTTATAACTAACTTAAGACTTACGGGGTGTATTTACACGGGGGACGTATTGCTGATGTTCCAAGCCGTGAAAACGGACGGTTGAGTCATGAGAACGACTGTTTTCGGTGTGGCGGTTACAACGGCCGTTTGAGTCGTGAGAACGACTGTTTATCGATGTGGCAGTGACAACGGCCGATTAGATCTCCGGGCTCATAGCGCCGACGGAGGCGGTGTGCACCAAAGTGCCGGAGAGGATCGAGACATCGCCTCGATCCGTACGGTCACGATGGTGTTCGAGACAGCGCCTCTAGCACCGGGTTCTGCCAAGACAACGCCTCGGCCGGACGGCCAGGAAGTAGTGTTCGAGACAGCGCCTCTAGCACCGGGACTTGTCGAGACAACGCCTCGACCGGAAGGTCAGGATGGCGTCCGAGACAACGCCTCTCGCACCAGGTCTTGCCGAGACAACGCCTCGGCCGGATGGCCAGGAAGTGGTGTTCGAGACAACGCCTCTAGCACCGTAGGACCTATCTAGCCCGAGACACTGCCTCGAGCTCGAGAGAAGGAACTGGTCCCGACTGCCGAAATCGCTCGGCTTTTATACCCCGGAGCGGCCTATGGTCCGTACGGGGTCGGCGTGCGGTATGCGGTTGTTTGCGCGCTAATCACGCACCTGTGCCGTGTCGCACGGGCACAGGTCTTCTTCGGTTCACGTGCGTTCTTCTCTGCTATAATCCCGCGGCTTGAAGTATAGCTCGGTACGCAAACTATCGCGAAACGGTCGGAACTATACTACGGCGCGAGGACGGGAATATAATGAATGCATTATAGTCAGGTAAATGAA